ACATATATATGTATGTATTTACGTACATACATGCATATATATATATATATATATATATATATATACACACACACACATACATATATGTACATATACATTATATGTATGTATTTACGTACATACATGCATATATATATACATATTAAATAACACACACACACACACACCACGCACGCACCGCACGCACGCACGCACGCACACACACGCACGCACGCACGCACACACACGCACACGCACGCACATTACACACACATATGTGTGTGTTCATATCTAAATAATAGATATACATAACGAAAGAGGATATGTGAGAACACCGATTAATACAGCTGTCATAATCATAAATATATCAAAATGCGTACGAAGGAAATAAATGTTTACCCCCGTCAGCTGACAGCATACGGTAAATCAATCATTGTTATCTTTTCCGTTAGGTTTCATTGCTAATATGATTATGTATATCAGTACCCAAAATAACACGAAGATACGTTTCTATTGTACAAAATAATGAATGATTACAATATCACCTGTAAAAAAAATCGGTTATCATACATCGGCAGAACTTCTTTGAATCTTTTTTTTTTAATCATTAGATTTGAATAATCTTAATAGACGTCCAAATAGCATATTTGAATTTTTTTCATCAATAATTTTAAACAATACTTTCGGAAAAGCAACAAATAAAGGAGTCAATGCATTAGGATAAAAATCATTTTCAAATAATTTATCAAAACATTTGGTCAGAAGGAAGTGTGACGAAGAAAATCCTCTTCTTATGGGTAAGTTCATATAAAAAAACAAAATTAAAAAATATCCATCTTGTATCTATGTCATTCTTAAGATACTGTGAATCTATTGTGATTTGATATAGATGCTGAAAATTTATATATTTGGGTTTTTGAAAAATGTCTTCGGTCGGTAGCATATTATCATAGCAATAATGTATATTTTTTGGCAATATGATTAATATATAACCCTTAACACTGATAGTAAACATCAATATCGTAATTCTATTTTCATTTTTATGGCTGTGAATAATAAATGATATAGAAAGAGAAAATGGGAAAATATTAGATTTTTTCTCGATTTCCTCTCATCAAAGTGACAATTAATAAACAAAATTTTCTAACGAAAAATGTAAGGTGTAATACTATTTATATGTTGTGATTTTCTTTAAATAAACAAATATCTAAAAAGGTATCTAGACCAAAAAATATAATTTATCTGTTGCGATTTTATTTATATTGCTCTAATAATTCCTAGATAGCATTTGTTATGGTTTTAATTCATTGATTGGTGTGCCTTTTCTCTCGCTTGTTCTCCATTTTCAAAAATAGTTAACGCATTTATTCAGATTTTATTCACAAAGGTATTTATAATCAATGTGTATATAGATTCTCTGTCTTTGTCTGTCTGTCTGTCTATCTGTCTGTGCCTGTCTGTCTGTCTGTCTTCAAAAAGCCAGTGTGTAAGAAATGATGGTCCCTTTTTAATGTTGATATAAGAATATATATTAATGTTAGTCCTCTTGCAATAAGCCTATATTTTGTACAATGTTAAAAAAGTATGAGAAAACAGCACAGGGATATGAAATTCATTCGAATTCTCAATTATTGATTAATGTTTGGTTTAATTTACAGCTAGCTTTTGTTACTCTTGGTAAAAAAAAAATGCTAATTGTAATCACTTTGGATTTTGCATATATTTGAACTCATTAAAAGGGCAAATCTTAGCCTCGTGAGAATTCACTTGTTTTTTCTGTATGCACGCCAGAATTACCACACTTTTTCTTTTCTCTTTTTCAGAAAATATCTTTTGTCTAATACACAAGTAATCAGTATCTTACAAAAATATGTATTAATAGTATTAATATCAATGGTGTTATCAACATGAAATGAGTTGATAAACATATGTTTATCAAACGGAAAATACCTCATCGCAATGACTCATCGTAATAATTCAAAACGATATATTTTTCATCCCATGTCCTCTCCATCCTTTTTATCCTATTTTTTCCTTTTTCAAAAGAAAGAAAAACCTAAAATCCATTCAGCATTTTGCGATTGAGGTTGTAATACGTCAGCCATATTATTAGATTATTTCGAGTAGCTACGGCACACTGCGTAATCGCGTCATGTTGTTAAACCTACTTAATATACTAACTAATAATTGCTTTTATAAGGCACGCGAAAGTTTATTCATTGGCCTAGATATCTTCAAGCGTTTTTCTTTTGCGAACTCAAGCTACATTACTACTTTAGCTTACTCAATGACGACCTCCTGATTAGATGGTCATGACTATGCTCGACTTACTATAAGGTCTAAGCGTGATATATTATGTCAATCACCATGCACTCATAGTTACTCATGGGTATCACTCGATCCTTAATCGAAATTGCGTTGTTATATTAATATATATATATTGCGTTGGCAGAACTCCGCTTATATCTTATCAAAAATAATTTTTTCTACGGTATCTTGATTCCTGTATATATTTATCCTTATACAAAATCTAGTTCAAAGAAATTGAAATTACACTGAAAACGACAAGGATAGTATCATTAGAGATTAATGAGATAAAAGATGTTATTTAACTTTATACATTGAATAAATAAATAATGATATAGACGAAATATATTTACATCATATTGTTTAAAACTATCTCGTCTTTCTAAAAATCAGAACTATATTCAGCTTATTTATAAAATGAATAAAATATATATCATACAGTGGAAAACAAGTCTTGAGAACATTTAGCATTACTTACTGTTTGGATATTCATATTCGATATTTTAAATTAACCTTCAATTATATAGAACATCGGATACTTAATGGTGAATGGTAGCGCCTTTACATTTTAAATTCTAAGGGATACTTCTAATTGCTTACTATAACGCTAGGTCAGAAATGAAAATGGCTGTCTATAAATCTCTCGAAGAGTGTGTCCATCTTTAATATGATGCACTTTATTAAATGAATAACTTAAGTGAATGAAAAAATTAGCGGCTTGTTAAGATGTATTGTGGTAAGTATTATTATATACTCTTTCTCTGCCATCTATAAATGCTCGCGCTTAGCTTGATCAGCTTGTTTATGAATTTGCACCGCCGCTCAAGTTAGTTAACATACCGTAAATGAAATTAAACTCCACCTTCAACTGTGCATTTAGTCATATTTAGTCTCTTTCGATGATCTGTATATTCGGATGGAAATGCCTTTTAAATACCTAAAGTATATGTAATAGTTTATCGTGTTATATTTTGATATTATATCTATGCTCATTTCAAGGACTGTTAATGATGGTTACTTTACATTACAGACATATATCCACATGTCTGCACTCACGAAGAGGGCCTAGCCTTAGCTACTTAGGAAATCGTTTTAAGCATAGGAACTATGTATACTACGTTTAGGAAGAATTCTTGCAAGGCGTCCCTGCTTAAAACGCTTTAAATCTATAACCATCCCTAACCTAATACTACCTTTACCAACCTAACCTAATCTAATCTAGCATAATTGTTTTCTTTTACATATTTTTATATATTATTTGATACTCTCATATATCCCTAGGTTACGCGTAAGTAGAGCAAAAAATATCCTCATGTGTAGCATTACTTGGTGCTACTCTTGAGGAAATTTGCTTATTGAGGGACCTGTTGAAGTCATCTTGTTGGTGAGGCGGCATTGAAAGAGCGCTCGTGCTGTCTCTCACTGGGCGAGGAGGAAGGCTGTGGTGAAGTGCTTGAAAGTGCATATTATTTACTAGCGTGTCAAATCTTATCTGATAATAGATCAGGTGAGTTATGTCTATTTTTGCGCAGGCCTGATAAGGTCTGAATAAATCCCCCTCCCCCCTCGTAAGGCAATACATTGTGGGAGTGAGCGCCAGCTTTCCGAATTGAATTCTGGCCTATCTGAACGCTAAACCATCCGGACGTAAACATCAACGTAGCCACGGTCCCGGATCGATTATTTTCGACTGAGACGCTCAAACACACGTCAAGACCCTCAGTCCTCTTAACTCCTGTTACAGAGCTAGGCTACCGGTGAACTCCCAGATGATGAGCGAAAAAGCGGTGGCCTGAACTAAGGTCCTGTGCAGACAGCATTGACCCTACTACTTTTCCTCATAAGTACCTATTGTAAGGTTCAACTCTCTGTGAGTAAGGTCACATGTTAATATCAGACTATACTATATTACCCTCGCAGTCGAAAGCAGTTGTACTTAAAATTGACTTTATGTCAGCGTATAGGTCTCACGAAATGAGGTATAATTGGCGAGAAACACTGTGATATGGAGCCCGTCTTATGACATGATTAGTGGTGCCTCACCATGTCACCGATGAAGTTATCCCTTCTTACTCTTCATTTCATTACAAACATTTTAATGTAATTCTTAAGTCACAACATCAAAATTATTCATTTTCCATCTTCTCCCGTATAGGTAGAACTTCTTATATTCGTAATAAGGACAATAAATATAATTAAAGTGCAGAAAATTTTGACGAACCTCTTCAACGAGAGCGAAGAGTGTATTAGTGTATTGTGTTTACAGGTTGTTATATTGAGGTATGAGTATGTGATTATGATTATGTGATAAGTTATTTTGACGTATTTGTCATATATGTGCTATCATTGTATAATGGGAAATATATGTAATCATATATTATATATAATTATTTCATTTATCAATCTATATAATTAAATATTATTAATAATTATATATCATTATGGCATTAGATTCTTTCTTATTACTTAATTATATATTATTGGGTTTATATTATAATTCATAATA